GTTTTTGTCTTACATCTCGAACACAGTCCACCCCGAATCTCGCTGTCGCGCTCGGGTCGAGAGCTATGTTACTCCCACTAGTACTGTATCGAAATCGATGTACTTGGATTTACCTATTGCGTCACGACGACGAACGGTGGGACGCAATACAGAACCAAAATGATGTCTATTGATTAGCCGTGACCCTTACTCGAACGTCTCGTGCTCCCAAGGTCAGTAGTGTATTCAATCCTTGCCTAATTTAAACGCGACCGCTACGACATGTAAATTGAAACAACAAGCATGGGCTGTATATATATACTTTATCTCCTACCATTACTACGGATTATAATGTTTCTTAAATTACCCCCCCCCCCCAGGAAGCCCGATTTTGCACCCATTGGGCTGGAGATATCGTGTTTAAATATCACATAAGTCTAATTTCACACGAGTCACGTCTTCATGTGAATGCTATGTATTCTTTTTTATTTTCGTTAAGTGAGCGTTCTTTTTTTAGGAATCTTTGTGCGTCTATTCGAGGTAGTTACGGAGGTCCTGTGGAAACTAGATAGGCTGGTTACCGTCCAAAATTGTGAAATTTCAACAGTATTGATCGTTATCATCCCGACAGCTCTCGCTTGCCCTCCTTCCTGTGACGTGATAACAGGGCTGCAAAATATCATCACGTTCTTGCATCCATTAAAATATCGAGCACTCGAGATAACATATGATTAGCGTACAAGCCATGCTGAATACGAAGCACAATTTAGCGCTTGATGGTAGATTCCACTCATTGCAGAAAAAGAAGAAGAAAAACTTAAATACCTTTGTGTGCAACCGAATTAGGTTTTTTTAATCTGCAAGCCACTCTATTGTATTGTAATCAAACAATCTGTAGTACTACAGATGTAGAACTTGGCATCGCCTACGGCACAAGCCTTTGGGTATGTTGAGCCATTTTTGATTTTAAGATTCGTTTTTTACTATCATTTTCTGAAACCACACAGCTGCAAGCAAATACACATTTTGCAGCACGGGCTGTTGACGCGATAAACAAAGCATATAAATTCTGCTACGGAAACGCTTATTTACTTTGCTAACAAATGGGCATTTTTTTACCGCTCAACGCTGCGACGACCAAAGCACCGGTCTCGTAGCCATTACGGTCTTGCGTCAGATGGGGTATAAATGTACCGAGTCGGAAGGGAATAAATAAACTTCTGTAATTAATATGTCACGATTTTCTTACATGGTGAATTCGAATTCGACACCAAAAGCTAAGTCGCATAACGCAGGTCCTGATGACTAAATGCCGATAGATAGTGTACAATAACTTATGTAATACAGTACATCTCATTTAAACAGGACTGACTCGGCTCCATCAAGCCATGTCGTCTCCGCCCAATAAAGCATACAAGACAGCATAACCTTCGCGGCATTATCTACTGAAAGAGGTACGTAACAGGCGTGCACCCATTGCGCTTTGTTTAAAGACGCTTTAAGACGCTAGACTGGTCGTACACCAAATGTCAGGTTAATTGGATCAGTAGCAGATCCTTTTTTGAACAGCAGTACCTCTCCTTGAGCTAGAGATAGCGTGTTAAAAAAAAAAACACACACACACACAAAGTCGTGCTTCACGGACAAGCTCTGGATTACACGACATATACACTGTGTAGAACGGTTGCTTTACCATTGGTTTTACATAACAGTGTAAGTAAGGAGTTATACATACTCAAAGTTCCAGAAAAAGGTTCGTTTCAATTTGATATGTACAGACTTTATAAGAATATTAGCTCCTAATGCGCTCCTTATTACCGTACTTTACAGTATACTCAAATTCCTGTACTTGTCAATTTATTCTTTACCAATCATATTCATTACAAAAATATTAGTTCCCATGTGTTCCTTATTGACGCATTACTGTATACTACTACTGCAGTCCTATGTACCGAAATAAATTAGCAATCACAAGATATATACAGACAACGACGGTGAAATCCGCCATACCATACAAATCCGCCACGAACACTTGAAGTTCAAAATAAAAGATTTGAACGAGTTTTAATTTTAGCCAATGATAGAGTAAATTGAATCGACTGGTTCCGCTTAACACATATAGTTAGAATTTCTATCACTCTGGAAATGGCGCCTCAGCGCTCCTATACAATTCTAACCAAGCGCGAAGCAATCGCGACTGCTGAGGCGTTAGGAAGCTGCCAAGCCGCATCAAAGACACTAAATATCCCTCGCACGACTCTTCGCGACTGGCTAGACGATAAAGAGAACATCCAAGACTTTGCGGGTGCCCAAACCAGCAAAACCTTGAAGGGCCAGAGTGCAGCGCCGATAATACACTTCTCTCACGATTTGGTAACCTTTACGAAGGATGTGCGACGAGAAGAATGGGTAAACCGTCTTCTTATTAATTTATTTTTACATTGTGACCTAAAACCGCTTGTTGCTTAGTATTTGTACAGATTTACTGATTCAATATTTCAAAGAGCAGCAAACGCGATGGCTTCAAACGTATCTTGCTGGTAAGGAAAGCGATGAGAAGGGTCTAAGTGCGTTTATGATACTATGTCAGCGGTTTGCAGCACGGTAATATCTTTTGATTTTGCTGATTTTATATAATTGCTTTATTAAATAGTGTGATATTCGTGGAGCTACTAACACATCCGGTTGGTCATGTATACTCAGTGCAGGAGAGCAGTTTTATGGATGCCAAAGTGTGGGCGATATATGTACGAGAGCTGCTCAAGTTCGAGATCGAGGCACTATCAGTGCTTATACTCGATAACTTCGACGCACATGTTTCAAAAGAAGGACTTGATGTTGTTGTCGAGACAACGTCGGCCCTGGTTTGCCAGCTACCGCCCAACAGTACAGCGGCCTGCCAGCCACTAGACGTTGAGGTTTTCAACTTTGCTTTTTGCTAATTAATTCGTTTTATCTACCAATAAAAATGTGCGACGGATTTTCCTGTCGCGAAAACAAAAAAAGAACTACTATGGAGGATGGCGTTCAGAGGGTGGCGGATTTCACCGTCGTTGTCTGTATTGGCGGTATGGTATGTCGTACGCATCTGCTGCGCGTAAAAGCTGAAGTGTGTTCGAACAACATTCACACTGATTTTATTACTTCGGCTAGTCGTAATTTAAAGTGATCTTACACTTGGCCTCCGTTCATCAGATGATATTCAGTTAAGTATGATCATTCTTTTTGATTGAAGTAAGTATTCTGCTGTGTGATACCAGCTGAAATGACAGGTTATGCACGTTTAGAGAAGAAAACCCACTATATTGGGTACGACAATCCAATGTTGATCTTACATACCAGGCGTACCAAGTGCTACAGTTAATTTATTAGAGTTTTGCGCTGAAAGCGTTAGTTTGGAATCTATATCTTGTTTTTACCTTACAAGTCACGCATGGATAACAGCTTTATCGATAAAACGAGGTATATCTATATTCGTTGGTTTTTTTAAGAAGTGAGTGTTCATTTTTAATTTGCATGTGTTTAGGTTGGCAACGAAGGCCTGCTTTCGTGATGAAAACTAGAGAGGTTTGTTATCGCTACACCGCAACGAATGGCGCCGACGGCTCTTACTTGCCCTCCCCCCTTAGACGTGCTAGCTGGGCGGCAAAATACCCTGCGTCATTACTGTTGGCCTTCACCTTCGCAGCGTAAATAGCTTGATTGAAGAGCTGCTTAGCCTTCGTGTAGAATCTTTCTTCTTCGACCCCCACTTCGTTTGTTGCGTGTTGCTCGGCACGACGCAGCATTCGACCACCGTCTGCGTCTACTATTCGATCTATATCAGGTGAGGCTTCGTTCTTGATGGTAGGGATGGACTCCTTGGCAATGGGTAGCGCGGTGCTGGTGGCGTGAAGAATGGCGGCAAACACCATGGCGAGGATGTAAGCGAGGCGCATACTTTGTTTTTTGCACTTTAGGACAGTAGAGAAAGACATAGCAGCATTTACCCGCACGCGAGAGTCGTGTTCGTGGACGAGTCGATCTCGGAATGAAATCCGCCAGGCTCTGACGGGACCATGATGTCAAGCTTTCAAGTATTAATACTAGCACTATTAATACTGGTAGCGTACTTTTTGCGAAACATATCTGTTCTGGCTGAAAGATTACTGTCATCTTGTCATACTGTACGGGTAATGATCACTGTAATCACTAGCCGTAGAGGTGAACTATCGATTAATTAGATGAGCTCGCACGTTTGATTGGATAAACCACCGAAATGTCAGGCTTGCTTCAAGATGGCAATGTATACATGTAGTACCAAACGTAATTTGTGCTGCTCTCTGGATAATACAACTACATGTAGTATTATGTTGCATTGTTGGTGAGATGTAGATTCAATAAAATGTGTAAAGTACAGTATACCGGCAAATACATGTACTGCGGCTTTCTCTGCACGACACCGTGCAAATGCTGGTACATAACATGTACCCAAACATACGCTGTAGTATGCGGTATACTGTACCTCGCTCCACAAGCTTTATATCGTTGTCAAAATCCAATCGATAGTTTGTTGCTTTTGCGCTGTCTGCCACCAAAAGTCAAGTCATGTTTCTTCATGTATTCAAATCATGCCAATTCTAATTACGAATGGTCTGCAACTGTACGGTCGTGGCTACATGTTCTGCTTCTACTGTAGCACTGCTACTTGTGTGGAATAGACTAATGTAATACAACTGGCAGGATTGATCGGGGGTGACATTCAAATGCCGAACTTGACCAATGAGGGAATATGAAAGTACATACGATGAATAAATGGGATCAGTGGAGAACCTGTACCACGTAGTATATTGTTTTTAGCTTACAAGTCACGCATGGATAACAGCTCTAGCGGTAAAACAACGTGTATGTATATATATTTTTTTAAAGAAATGAGCATTCCTGTCTTTTAAACTTGTGCATGTGTTTAGGTGCCCTGTTTTCGTGATGGAAACTAGAGAGGCTAGTAATTGCTACGCCGCAACGAATGGCTTCGACTGCTCTTACTTGCTCTCCCTCTTTAGACGTGCTAGCTGGGCGGCAAAATACCCTGCGTCATTACTGTTGGCCTTCACCTTCGCAGCGTAAATAGCTTGATTGAAGAGCTGCCTAGCCTTCGTGTAGAATCTTTCTTCTTCGACTCCCACTTCGTTTGTTGCGTGTTGCTCGGCACGACGCAGCATTCGACCACCGTCTGCGTCTAATATTCGATCGATTTCAGATGAGGCTTCGTTCTTGATGGTAGGGATGGACTCCTTGGTAACGGGTAGCGCGGCGCTGGTGGCGTGAAGAATGGCGGCAAACACCATGGCGAGGATGTAAGCGAGGCGCATACTTTGTTTTTTGCACTTAAGGACGAGAGACTGCAGCGTTTACCCGCACGCGAGAGTCGTGTTCGTGGACGAGTCGATCTTGGAATGAAAATCTGGCAAGCTCAAATGTCAAACTTTCAAGTATTAATACTAGTACTATTAATACTAGTAGTGTACTTTTTGCTAAACATATGCTGTTCTGACAGCAAGATTACTGTATTCTATCATAAATGTTCCCTGTAATCATTAACCGTAGAGCCGTATATAACCCAATAGATCACTGCAGTACTCCACGACCAATGTCTGCAGTCTCCATTGGAGACGCAATTGCAGGTTTCCTCGTGCGTCCAGATTCGTGTTGGGGAAAGGATGTATTGACTTCGTTTGCCTTAAGGGGGGTCTCGAAGACACAGAAAAACCTAACGTAAGCCTTCTCACACTACTCCTAAGCTGGATGGCTGCCACTAACTATAGACTTCGTCTTCGAATCTTACCTCCTTGCGGAAAACCGATCTTCCTCAGGATTCGCTTGGATTCCAAGTTGAACCTATAGGTGTCTGAGACAAATCACAAATACGTGGTAGCAACACCGCTCCTGGACAAGTACATGCACAAGTACAATTACAGCTACAGGCCAGTACATGTACTTACTACTGGCTTGTGATTTTCACTTAAGATCCTTTTGTGGGTACAGCTGAACCTATCGATTAATAAGATGAGCTCGCACGTCTGATTGGATATACCGCCGAAGTGGTATTAATAGGCTTGCTTCAAGATGGCGTATACATGTAGTACCAAACCTGGTCTCTGTCTAATACTACTACATTGAACTACGAATTTGCCATCGGTGAAAAGGTGTAGATACTACAGTAGTAGTACTGGTACATTGATCTAGCGTTTTGTTCAAAGCTCATGGCACTACTACTGGTTCTAAATTTACCTTTTGATGGTGGTCCTGACCTAGGACTCCACCTCCATTGCGAAAAGGGTTAGTTAAATTATAAATTTATATGTGCTTAAATGAACCAAGCAAAGAGGGCATAAAAACACTTCTGCAATTATGATGACACGTGTTTTTTTTACAGGGTGGATTCTAATTCGACAGGGCCAGCATGCAACACATAGGTACTATAATTAAGGTAATTTAACTCGGCACTCAAAACAGGACTGTCGCACTTGCCTCGAGCGGATTTGGCCGCGCAATACGCGATATTATACTTTTGTATGGGAGAGTTCATGTTCGTAAATTCTGGTCGATGAGCAAATTGTTTTTTTATGTGACCCACCAAATACGGTAAGAGCCATGTTACGCACCATAAACGGATGAGGAATGGAAGAGCTATGGCGCCTTTCGGGCTGTCCGTTTAATTTTTGCTAAGAGCTACAGTACTCTGGAAATGCTTTAGATTTGCTCCGTTGGAGTAGGGATTGCTGCGGCATGATTTTGATGTGTCTCAAGCACCTTTTAGCATTGTCCATGATTCACTTTAGGGCACTAGAGATACGCTGCCGCCAACATGAGGCCTGTTCATGGGCGAGTCAAACACAGAATGGAATCCGGCAGTTTATTTTGCTTGGACTATTATTTACGGCTTTCGAAGCTGAATCCGCTTGCATAAACTATGCATGCAGTTAGTATAAAACACAAACGAAAAAATACTCAGCTTGTCCTTCCCATGCCATAACTCTCTAGGCAAGGTCAAGCTCTACGTTTACCGTTAGATGATGGTCGTAGCTTAGGACTCCACCTCCATTGCAAACAAGGTAAGCTAATCATTATATGTATTTGTGTGCTACCGTTTTGTTTTAGTTTAAAACATTAATCAATCTGTTGTACTAATATTTTAAAAATTGTGTTTCGTGCTCACTACACTAATTTTCAAAATTAGTCGTGCATTCGCGCTTAAGTGACGTCACAAATGAGGGATGTTTTAGAAGACACGTCAATTCTAGAACCCGTTCCCAGAGAACTATGGAGTGCTTGATATTGCTCAAATTACAAACGTGATACTAAAATTTGAGGACAGCAAGTGTATATGTGTAGTCTACGACTACAGAGTGGCCGTGGAAAACTCGTAAATAATTGCATGTCAGTAACCAGCAACCAGCACCCTTAGAATTGCTTGTATTATTTATTCGTTGATTGCATCGAGAGCACATACCATTTGTATGTATTCTCGACGCAGCCAATGTATGTACAAAACTTGTAACTTGTCCGGACTAAATTTTAGTCTGGCACAACGGTCCACTAACCAATTTTTTTGTGAGGCAAAAAAACAAAAGTATGTCTTCCTTTTAGACTCTATGGTGTTATATCTAAGTTAGATCATCATTTTACGTGTTTTAGAGAATGTGATGCTGCATTGCAATTTCACAAGTTATCCTGACATGAAATCGAAATTAGATAATCCTCGCCCCCTACACTGCTAACCTGTCTGTCGTGTGTAAAGGCGTCCAGGATCATACATAGATACGGTCCAGTGTTGGAGACTGCGGATTAAGGAACGAACCTCGGTAGAACAGTGAAGAGCCATGAGGTAGCAAAGAGCATGCTGATTGGACAGATAAAAAAGATACTGACCAATCCGATATGCAACATGTACTAAAAAAAATAATGCACAAGATAAAAGAGCACCGCTAAGGGCCGTTCTTAAATTCCCGAGACGACTTCCGGGAAAAGTCTGTCCCAAATCTCCAAAATAAGCGTGACACTTGGGATTTTGTGTTTCTCACACAATCTACAACTTATCATACACCTGTTTGCATTACTTCCGAATTTTTTTTTCTCGTAAAACTCACTTCCGAATTTGCGCAAAAGCCGCGGCGTGGCGAAAGTTACGACGTGATCGGGGAAAGCCCTTTCCTAGAGAGAGGGTGTGAAGCAACACAAAAGAGCAGAAAGCGACTGATTGCAGAGCAGTTCTACTTGACTTGACTATACGACCTTTTATTTAAAGGGAGCGATATTCTCAGCGAGAGAGAGGACGGTCACGAGCAACGATACAAAGTATGGAAGAGAATTGAGACATGGACTCCAGATCGACAGATTCAAGGACATTACTATTCGATGACGCCAACATGGAGCCGCTAACGCTCACGGAAATGTACGAGTATCTCAGAAGCGAGCTAAAAGGGCTTGATTTGGGCCAAGCGCTTGAGGTTGAAAGCGCAAAGGAGTTCATGCAAGATGTCTATAAAACCTTTTCACAGCTAGACCTGCAGAACCACTCTCAACGGACCGAAAGCATGACCCGGAGCTTCAGGTGGAGGAGATGGAGCAGTTAATGCGATTGTTTTTGACAGAGATCGAGGATGACAAGACCAATGCCCGTAAATGGCGAGCGCGGCTTCATGATCTAACAAGATTTATATACAAATCGAGAAGATCTCTGGTGGAAACAATCGAAGTCAACGTGCGGGCTGCAAAGGCTAAGCCGAAGCAGGCTGCGAATCCATGGATGGAACGGATAGCTCAGCGCGCTCCAATGCAGGAAGAGGATGATGAAATGAATGGTAGAGCTGCACCATCTACCTTCCGGTTTTTAACCAGCAGCTACGGACCAAAGGAAATTGACGAACTACGAAGAATCTGTGAAATGCGATATGTTTTTCCCAGTCGTCTTCGACCCCCGTCGAAATTAGAGTGGAAAGTGGTAAAGGGTATCTTGGAAGGCACCATCCTTTGTCTCGCTAAGTTATTGGATTTTCTGAAGCGCGTTTGTACCAATGTAGCTCTACGGGTGGTACAGAACACGATCAGAGTCCAAGTGGAGGGGGATCTAATGCTGATGCTCAGTCCGGAGTTTAAGATTTACCCATAATTTCAGTCCCGACGTCGCCTAACCAACGAATAGTTTTTGGGCATTCGAAACAGCGGAAATGACCCGAAGAAGGTAGCTCAAATGTTGCAAGAAGCCAAGCTAATATGCTATGACCAGGACCATCACACCGTACATATTATTTGCTGGACGCGTGAGATGGCTACTAAGTGGGGCAACGAGTTTACGTCCTTGTCTTTCCGTAATAAAAGATTTTTTCGCACATCAGGACGAAGAACCATTGTCGGAGGACCACATGCAGAGAGCCACACAGATGTGGGCCAGACAAGTAGGTGCAGATGGCATCAGAAATGAGCAGCCTCATGACAGATACCATGTTCGACTACTCAATATCTCAAGGTTTATGGACGAAGCGGCGATAGACGCATTCATCCAACAACAATTTGCAGGTGTATACACGACTTGGCAAGAGCCGAGTGATGGCAATCAAGCTTTGCAGACCGATACTTGGGAGATTTTCTTTAGGGGCCCCCACTGCCCCCTGTTTCTGAAAGGGAAAAGGTTCATTAACTGGACTGGAGGAAAGATACTTGTGCACCACGTGAGCAACAACCGTACTTCTCCTTGCTTCTCGTGTGGAGGAAACAGTCATTTGCGCACAGCCTGCAAAGTACACGACAGGTTTTGGAGAAATAACTACAGCATCGTAGTCTCAGCAGAGGAAATCGGAAGATTACCCCGACAAACGTCTACTGTAACCAGTCTGGAAGATCTATCCTCGTATTGGGTTGATGAGACTAAGATATCGGACAAAATACAAGAGGATCAGACTGAAAACAAATCGATCAAATTGATTCTTTCACGAAAAAAGGAGGAAGTGGTGCGCCGCTGAAGAAAAAAGTGGACACGATGTCCGACTAGAATCGAGATGGAAAACTGCTGGGCAGCCTAAAGCTTAAAAGAAGAAGTCTCAAGGTAGTCAGCAGAATAGTTGGACCGGAGAGGAAGGCCACACTACAGTTTAAAAGATCACCCGAACATGGACGCAGGGCCTCCGCCAAGGGAGCGCAGAGTATCTCGGAAGGAGGTATCGAAACAGCAACAAAATGATGGAGAAAGCGCAGGAGCACGTAGTTAGGACGAACCTTCCAAGCAGCTAGGGATCTCTATTTCAGATGAAATCAAAAACAAGCTGAAGGAAAAGTCACCAGCCATGGAGAAGCAGCAAAATCTCATTGAGAAGCTAATCCAGGCCAAAGCGGACGTAAAGGAAGGATAGGGGAGCAACAGAGGCCTGCCGGGATATCAAACTGAAAGAAGTGAGGCAATGGACGGGACGGGAAGTGCTGCAGCGTTGTGGACTTCAGGAGGTGCCAACACCAGCTACAGGCAATTGTCAATACTACGCAATCGCAATGGCATACTGCA